ACGAATGGTGTGATGGAATTAACTTCTGTTTTGTTCTCAAACTTTTGTTTGTTTAATTTTTTTTCCACTGATTTGCTTTGTTCCATGGTTACTGCCTATTTGTTATAAATTTATTTTTATCATAAATTTCTTTTCCTCTATTCAAAACATGTTTGTTTGCTTTATTCCATGCTTATTGCTGGCCTTCGTTGTAATTACTTTAGCATCCTTCCATATTAAGGTTATGAGGTTATTATTCCCATTTAAGTTTTATCAACATCACTTTTAATTACTATTTTAATTTTACCCAGAATTCTCACCTTAGGTAAGTAAATTCAGGTTTCTTTGATTTGAGGACATTCAACTTACAAATTAGTGTTTCTCATCAACTCAATTTGGCTCTTTATAAGAGGAATTTGAATAGCAGCATGCTGAGAAGGCAAACACCTTCCTAAAGTCTACAACAAAACAATATGTGATTATTAATGTTCGTTATGAGTGATTATCACTAAACTATCATCTTAATTTTGGAGAGACATTTTTATAACCAAAGTAGATTGACCTTCCATAGAAGAAATTTTACAAATACACACTTGCTTGATCTTCTTTTCCATGTGTAAACTAATGTGCACTCATTCTCTAATGCACATTCAACAGGAATGAATTAGCATCAAACACAACTTAACAAAATTTTTTATATAAAAACAACAACCTATTTATTGTGATAGAAATGCAAAGAGAACCAAAAATCAAATTTAGTTGAAAGGACTTTTTGATTGACTATAACAAATTAAACTATAATACAAAGAAATTGTCAAATACCTATTAGTGACATAGGTGTTCAAAATGATGACTTCCTCCGGTTAGGGAAGGCCTCAATGTATTGGCCAAAACTTTAGTCTGATGGATAAGGCAAACAAAATGATGGAGCAATGACAAATGCTGCGCAACAAACAAAAACGGTTAAGATGAGCCTTCACATGGTATATATTGAGATAGGAATAGAAGTGAAAAAATCAATAATGCTACCTGGAAAATTCAACTTATGTAACAACAAGAAATGTTCTCTAGCTGACAAGTTCTAATGCCTCTAGATTCGACCTCGACCACAAATTTGTAGGAGAGGGACAACGAGATAGAGGGAGAGTAGGAGAGCGATAGAGAGGGGGAGGGAGACCAGGAGAGAGAAAGAGAGAGAGTGGGGGCGAGATAGAGGGAGAACAGGAGAGAGTTAGAGAGTGAGAACGAGGAGGGAGAACAGGAGAGAGGGAGAGCGAGACAGAGGGAGTATGGGAGAAAGTGATAGTGAGAGGGAGGGAGAGTGGGAGAGAAGGAGAGAGAGAACGGGAGAAAGCGAGAGCGAGAGAGACTGATAGAGGGAGAGCGGGAGAGGGAGAGCAAGACTGAGGGGGGCGAGGGAGGAGAAAATGAGAGTGTGAAAAAGGGATAGAGAGAACGGGAGAAAGTGAGAGCAAGAGAGACTGAGAACTGGAGACAAGGGGAGCGAGGGAGGAGAAAATGAGAGTGAGAACAAGGGGCGCCACTGGGGAGGAGAACTTGTAGTTGGAAGGAAGCAACCGAAGAGAAGAGAGCTGATACTATGAAAACAATGAAAGAGAGTGAGAGAGGAGGGAGAGCAGCTGAAGTTCAGTCGTCGAGGGAAAAGTTGCAGGAAGAAATGTGATGAGAGTTAAGATTGTGAGAGACAACGAAAGAGAGAGAAGAAGGAGGGCGAGAGAGAAGAGGGTGGGCCCTGGTAGGGTCATTTTAGCCTTTACAACTTAAGGTTAATTTTCAAATAAAAATTTAAATAAATATTATTATGACATGGATCTGAGCTAGATTGCCACCTCACAAGAAAAACATTGGTAAGAGTGTAATGCTTAATTGGTGTGGGAATCTGTCTTTTAATTTCAAAATTCGAACTTGAATGTCATTGTAAATTCTGTATGGGCTGGCATGGTGTTCAGATTTCTACAATGGACCTGCCCATACTTTTCCCTAATTTATTCCTTTGATTCCAACATGCCGATGAAAATATCTTCTACTTGAATTTCGATTTTTTGACACGTAGTGACTTATGGGATTTTGTGAGTTGTTTATCCTACTGCCTCGATAGCTAAAATGAATAAAAAAAGGGCAAAGAACGCTGAAAATACAAGGCGAGAACATTGACTTCGTGGTGGAACTGTATTGGCTGAAAGTAGCTTAGTTTAAAATATGAAAAAGTAGTTCTAATTTGTTAGGAATGGCAACGAACGGGGCGGGGGCCAGGTTTTGCCTGCCCTGTACCCGACACCAAATGACCCCAAATTGAAATTCTCCGCCCCGTCCTTGCCCCAAACCTCGATGGGGATAAAAATCTTAACTCCATTCCTTGCGGGGAATGAGGATCTCCTACTTTGTTTTTTTATTTTTTTAAAACCTATCTAGAACTATTTTATATTATGTATTTATATAATATAATATATAAATAATATATTATAATATAAAATAATATATATTAACATATATTAACAATTTTATATGTATTATGTTATATAATATAATTGGGGCGGGGTGGATAAATACCACCCCCGACCCCAGAGTTTTGGATTTTCTTCGAACCCCGATTAGTGGTCAAATTGCCATCTCTAAAATCTGCCCCCATAGAGAATGCGCCCCAAAAACGTCCCACAACACATCCCATGTAGCCATGTATTGGGAACATCTCCCAATGACAAGTATGGGGGATGTTCTCAATGCACGCTGATATATGCCTGAGAGCTTAAGACGTTCTGCTACTTTAGTCGAGCCAAATGGGAGATTCAAGCTTAAACAATTCAAGCCGTTAAAACTAGGCACACTCAGCTCGGTAAAAATTAGCTTCTTCCATTGGCATAACATTGTTGTGTCTAGGGGTGGATTCGAGCCGAGCCAAGCCAAATACTTGGCTATTCGAGCTTGACTCACTGAAACTGTATTAGGTTCGAGCTTGATTCGAGCTAGAGATTTGAGCTCGAGCTCAACTACAAGCCATGTTTTTTTCTAAAAAATAAAAAGTATACATTTAAAAATATTTTTTTTCTATTTTACATACAAAAAATTAAGAATTATAAAAACCATTTATTATTATACATATAAAAAATAAAATATACATATAAATAATGTTTTTATTTTACATACAAAAAAAAGATTTATAAAAATTATTTACCATTATACATAAAAAATAAAAATATTATATATAAAATCTTATTATATAATAAAAATTATTTATTATATATATTTATATGTATATGCATATGTATGTATATATGTATGTATGTATGTATGTATGTATGTATGTATGTATGTATGTATGTATGTATATAATAAAAAATATTTATTTATTATACAAGGCTCGTGAGCCTCATGAGCTGAGCTTCAATGGGGTCGAGCTTAGCTCGATTAGCAAATGAGCCTATATATTAAGCTCGAGCTCGGCTCAAAGCTCGATTTAAACCGAGCTAAGCTCAAATAGCTCATGAGAAGCTCGATTTGTGGCCACCCCTAGTTGTGGCTTGATACTTGTATGTTGTCATTCATGAGCAAATGTTTTAAATGCACAGTTGGATGTGCTGTGAGGTTAGTGTTAGAAGCATTTTGTGAAAAATAGATTTGAATTTTTGAAATTACACGTTGGTTGTATTTCTTGTGATTCATGAGATATTCCCGATACATGATTGGATGTACTATAAGTATATCACTCTTCACACTAACATCAAGCACATTTCAGATGCACATTGAGAACATTTTCCATACTTGTATGTTGTCATTTATGAGGAGGTGTTTGTAATGTATGGCTGGATGTTTAGGACGGAAAATGGTATTCAATTATTCAAATTTGAATTTGATCTTATTAAGGATGATCTAGTTTGTTTCCTTTATAATTGGAGCAAATATGGATCCACCTTTACCTAATCTGATATAGTCCAATTCAAATTTGATTTAAGTATATATGCTCATATATATATTTAAAATTTATATTATATATCATTAAAGATGGTTTGGATGTGGTATTTTTCACTAAATTGTCATAGGTGCATATTTTATACAAGTAATTTTCAATTCATTTTGTTCATAAAATATAACATTAAAGTCATTTTTAGTTCATTTTTATTAATATTATACAATACTTTGATCATTTTTAGTCAAATTTATTTATACAATTTAATATCCAATTATTATAATCTGAATTCAATTCAAATATGCTAGATATCCAATGGATATGATCCGACTGAATATATCCAATCTGACCCGATTCATTTGCAGCCCTGAATGTGCTGTGAGATTGGTGTGAGAAGTTCTATGTGAGGAGTCAGGCTCTCGATGGATTGGATATTGGTCCAATCCGATCCAGTCTCGGATTATAGATGGACCTGCATGTCCAATCCAATGACCATCTAAACTGTTCAATTTGGTTTTAATTTAGATTGGGTTCAACCCAAACTTGATCTATTGACACTCGTACTCTCATCTTATATTTATATCAATGGCCGGGATATTGATTCAATTCAATTCAGTTCAATATAAATCCATTACAAATTGTACCCAGGTCCAATCCAATCTAATAAATATTTTTAGGAGCGAGACTAATCCAATTCAATATTTCTTATTGATCCGTCCATTGACGCGCTTAATGAGGAGCAATCCGGATTCCACCTTGAATCGGACGAAATGAGATAGACGAGGGCAAAGCGAACATCATAACTTCATAAGCCGTAAACTCACGGTTTAAGCCCAAGGCTACGTCGGTTGGCGTAGTAGCTGGTTTCTCCTCACGCTAGTTTCGTTGACAATCTCTAACCATACCCTTACAACCAAACATCCAGTACGTACACTGACGATGCATACGACATATCGTACGGGCGCAGCAAGCCGCATCGGCGCCACAGCAGCATCGTGTCCAAGCAGCAGATAATCAGCTGATCCACGACACGCAAAACCTGAAGAAATACATATAAAATATTTAAGTTCTGAAAGACATACAACAACACGAGGACTTCTCCAGGAATTTTCTTCTATGTTCTCTCCAACTTCGATATCCAGACTTCCGGCTTCCGGTTACGATGGTTTCCTTGGTTCCATTTCCATGTAAGAATCAGATCTACTCTTCTTCGGCTGTGTCTCGTTTTTCTTTTTTCTTTTTCTTTGATTGTCTTAGTTTTCGTAAAATATCTGCAACTTCTCGTCTGCTTTGCAATTCTAGCGAGCTTACTTTTGCCATATGCTAATTACTATTTTACCGCGAATTTTTATTTTTTTATTTTGCCAATTTGGCATAGATCTCTCTTTTGATTATTATCGTGTAAAGCTTCTGATCTCTCCGTTCCATCCTGCTTCTTGCCGGTAGGTGTTTCTGAGATTTCATTTTGCATGAAATTTGAGAACAGTAGAATTTGTAGTAGGATAAATAAATCAGTAGCTATTTTTTTTTTCCATTCAGTTGTTTCAATTCTATTTCTTGATCCTTCACAGATCGAAGAAAGCATTGAGAATTAAATGTGCTTCGATATGCTTTCTAGCTTTAAGTTTCGAACTCCGGGTGAAGAGGATGGGTCTCCCACTTTTTCTTTCTACCTTCTTTTCTCTTCTTTGTTTTTTCGGGTGCTTTACGTACAGTACCTAACCTTTTTAGCTCGACGGTTTTACTGTTTTTATGACTGCAGTTTGTTCTAAAACCTTTGCTCATTGGATCTCGCATGCTCTTCGTTCCACTTGTCTTTCATTATTTGTTACAGATAGTTGATGTTTTATCATTTTTGTGTGCAATTTTGTTATAGTTTAGTTGCAAATGGGTAAGCAAATGTTGGGAGGAATAATTACGCTTCTCTTTTTAATGCGTGTTCCTTTTTTTCTTTTTGTTTATTATGCTAAAAAATCTGACATGTACATAATTGCTACATCTTGTGAGTTGTGACTTGTCCTACATTAGACATGATACTGCACGCAACTAACTGCTAATCTTTGTTCTAATGGATAGTCGATGGTTTTCCTGTAAAACCTACGGTTTATTGCCCTCCTAGTAGAGCACCGAAACACTGCGGAAAAGACCGTACTTCTCATTCTAATTTGAGTTAGTAACGGTAATTTAGTCACCGAAGATTTTTAGCTTCGGGAGGTCGAGGTGACATTAGCCAATGCAAATCTGCGATTGTGGTAATACTGATGCCATAAAACTGTTGTTGTCTAGTGCTAGTGGAGGGTCCCCCACTGTTTTTCCTTTTTATAGGGGTTTGGATTAACCTGCAGCTGGTAGTTGTGATTGAGTGAATGAATTCACTCTTCCAGGAATTCTGGTGATTGTTTTGACGAGGGTTCTTGCTTGTGGCATATTTTGAACTAATGTTGTATCCGGAATGGTTGTTCATATTATTGAATTTTGAAGAGGTTTCGTTAATAGCCTTTTCTGATCCCCCCATTCTTTAGAGTAATTTCTGAAGCTCCTTGCTCCTTCCTCCTTGGGTTTGTGTTATTGTGCATTTTCTGTATTCGTCGTTGTTATGTTTGTGCCTTGCATTCTTTGCAGCGACCCGCTTCATGAATCCACTCTGAATTAATTTGAGAAAAACCTGAAGGCAAAATTTCATAGTGGTTTGTGGTGGATGCGTAACTCGACCCATATTCATCTTATAGGTCCGAACCGAATATGAAGAGTCATGTATTTTCGGGGGTTCTCTCTTGTATACAGAAGGCGGAGTCTTGAGAGACATTGGGTGTATTTTGGGGCTTAGGGTTTTCTGTGAGAGCACAACTCTATTTCTTTTCCATTGCCTACTACATAGTGGATTTCTATTCCTCCTTCACCCGTTGACGTAGGCTATAAGCCGGACCAGGTAAATCTGTGTGTTCTCTGTGTTTGCTTTCTCTTTGTCTCTATTTTATTTTCATTTGAGTGCCATTTCGAATCTGTTTTCTTGGGTTTTTCTGCAACAGTCGTTGATGAGGGGCTTTCTGGGTTTTGGTTGAAGCATCAACAATGTCAACATTGAAGCACCACCAATCCATGAAAGTGTCATAGAGGTGCTCTTAGATATTCTGCAACTTGAACTAGGTACAAACTTTTAATATTGCCTGCTTTTTCACTCAAATATCCAATCAAGGAACCATCATAAGCACAGGAAAAGATTGTTCAGAATTTTAGAGGATATCTGTTGGTAGGATTTATTTTTCTGGGCTAAAAATTGATTCCTTATTTGTCTTGGGCCTAAAAATGGGGTCGAAATTTGTATATAGTGCTGGTGACATGATATTGGGGTATGTTGGTGATACACAGTAGGTAATTTTAAGCTTTTAGGTTGTCGTATAACAGTTTGGACTATTTTGTTGCCCTTTGGTTGGATTGTGTGTTTTTTTAACATATTTCTTGCAAATGATAATGTTACTTTTAATAACTGGATGAAGATTTATTTATCAATAGGTTTTGACCTTTTTTTGGGAATTTTTAGGCTCTTTTATGAAATCCCTTAACTCAATAAAGCTTTATGCAACCATATAGGCTCGTTACAAGAATCTTATTTTGCTATCCCACTCTTTCAAGGACCACATTCAATGTTAAATTGCAAGCCCTTTGGATTATTACTCACTACCTTACCTATGTCCCTCACTCCCTATTGGCCTACCTCTAGCTCTTGCAGTTTCTTCAACTTACAATATGCCATTTCTTCTTGGTGCAGTAGGTGATATTTCTATGCACATGCCTAAATCATCTTAAGCCTATTTTCCCTTGTTTTGTCACTCTTTAAGGCTATTCCTAGACTCTCAAAGATACATTCATTTCTATTCCACGCTTTTGGTTTTACTACTCATACATCGTAACATTTGCATTTTTGTCATTTTTCTGTTGAACATGTTGCTTCTTGACTGCCCGACACTCTACTTCATACATTATTATGAGCATAATAGTCTTTTATAACATTTTACTTTTAGCCTGAATGCCTGATTGGTATTATCTAGTCAAACAGAACTTGGAGTGCACCTTTCCATTTTGTTTACCCTCTTTATTTTTAAAGGTGACATCCTCAATCTCTCTCTCTAGGTTACTAAAGTTATATTTTTGCATGTAATCCCATTCTAGTTTCACCAATCTATAATATTTCTGTTAGCAAACTACATAAGCTGTGGGAGCTCCTTTGAAACGAGCATATTCTAATACAAACAAAATGGATAGTGGGGCTTTTGTCAGTGGGAAAAGAAGGAAGGTTAATAAGGAGTGTTCTGAGGAAAGAGAAGCTGGATATCTTCCAAATTCAGGAAGCCAAATTGACAGAGTTAGATAGAAGGTGGATTAGAAGCATATAGGGCATTAGAGGCCTAAGTGGGACTTACGCATTTTCTTGGGGAGCCTCAGGGGGAATCCTCATTATTTGGAGAAATGAAGAATTGGAGTGCATGGAGGAACTTATTGGGACTTACTCAGTCTCAACTAATTTTAAAAGAATTAGTGGTGGGAAAGTGTAGGTGTTGATCAATTTTATGGCCCTGACTCCTATATAGAAAGGGAATATTTTTGGGAGGAGTTGAGTGTAGTTGGAGGACTTTGGGAGGGGCCTTGGTGTCTTAGGGGATTTCAATATCCTTAGATTCTTGAGAGAAACAAACAACCCGAAGCAGGGTCTCACCCATAGTCTGAGGAATTTTAACAACTTGATTGAGTCCTTTGAATTGAAAGAACCACCATTGCTACAAGTAGAGTTCACTTGGTCAAACTTTCAAGCTAACCTAATTTGCTCCAAACTTGATAAATTCTTGTTCTCGGTTGATTGGGAAGCTTTGTGGTAGAACCTAACAGCAAACGCCATGCCAAAGGTAACCTCAAACCATTGTCCCATTTCTTTTGGCCAGGATATTCTATTTGGTGGGAGAAGGCTGATGTTGATCACCTTCGGCCTGTACTCAGGTTCAGATTTCTGCAAGAAAACACAGAGAGAGAGAGAGAGAGAGAGAGAGAGAGAGAGAGAAACAGAAGAGAGAAGAGAGGAAGAGAAGAAGAGAAGAGGAGAGAAGAAGAATGAAAAGAAAGGGAGCAGTAATCTCTATTCTGCCGCCCAGATTTTGTATTTATAGGTTTCTATCATAAAGTAACTTACAAAGATCACTATACCCCCGCCTAGACTCTACTTAACATAATATAATAAATAACTAATCATAGTTTTCAAGGCGCCAAGGCGAGGCTAGGCGATAGGGGGGGCCTTGTTGCCTAGTTGCCTAGGTGATGGATTTTTTTAAGTAAAAACATGCATCCTAGGATAGTTCCCTAGGTTCCATAATCCTATTTCCTTAATAAATATCCATAATTTTCATAAGAAAAGTATAAACTTTATGTTAAAATATAGAAAATCAACATATTCCAACATATTCATGAGAAGAAAAAGAAGAAAGAAAAGAAAATTCAAAAGATGTAAGGGCTGAACCCCTATTTTTGTTATAGGAAAAGAAGAAAAGAAAAGGTGAAGAAGATATACAAACAAAATTAGTAAAGAAAAAGAAGAAAATGTGTTGATTGGACAACATTTTAAGTTCTTCCTTACTTATTGGTTCAAGTTTTGAAGTCTTTGAGGGTTCAATACAACATTTAGCAATGTTTGTATCGATTAAACCCTAATAAATAAGAAAATAATAAAAATAAATTAGTATATAAACACAAAATGAATATTTTAGTTTAAAAATGTCTATATTATAATTATAACCTCAAAAAATTAAGAATATAAAAGTTTTTTATAACATGCTATAGAAAATTGCTTGGCAATTAGGCAAGGCGAGCCTCCAAGGGCGCCTTGTCACCTAGGTGTCACCTTGAAAACTATGCAACTAATGTAGGCCTAACTAACAGGTCCATGACAAGGCCCAAATGATAAAATAAAGAACAGGCCCAAACTTAAAGAAATAACTACTATACTGCTTCTCTACACTCCCCCTCAAGTTGGGAATAGATATTGGTCATTCCCAACTTGCATAAATCTGTCTTTCACTTGACCCTTTGTAATTGCTTTGGTGAAGACACCAACAAGTTGCATATCGGAGGCAACATACGGAAGGCAAACTTCTTGGGAGGAAATTCTTTCTCTAATAAAATGTCGATCTACCTCAATATGTTTGATTCTATCATGTTGTATGGGATTATGAACAATATTAATAGCGGCCTAGTTATCACAATACATCATTAGTGGCCTTTCATATTCAACCTTGTTGAAATAGTTTACTTTATTTCTTTTTTCTTATTTTGCCTAGTTAGGGTCTATTTGGTCTATTTAAAGTAATTATTTTATGGTTGTTATTGTACTTTAATTACAACAGGGGCACAAGGGTCTTTTCCCTTTTATTTATGGTCACCCTATAAATATTAATATATTCTGGTGCTGCTAGAGGTTATTATTGCTCACCATTTATTCTTCTACTCTTCTGCACCCTTCTTCCTCTCTTTTCTTCTCCCCTATACTTTCTGTTGTTCCTCTTCTGTTAAGATGGTACCAGGGCAGGTTTACTTGATGTGAGAGCAAATCGAACAAAGTCTTCCCACTTTAACTTGTTGTCTTCTCCAGACTGAGAATGAAAACACTAACCTACGATTGGTACAAGCCTTCCTTTTTTTTTTCTCTTATCTTGGTCGTGTACCAAGAGGAAACTCAATGAATTTGGTCTACTGAATGTTGTCAGAAATTTGTGAGATTTAGACCTTTTTTTCTTGGATTGTGTGATCCTGTACTTGTGAAAGGGATGAATGTAGGTCACAGATGACCTGTTATTTCCTAGTTTTGATGTGATTACAAATTTTTAATGATCTCTCCTGATGGTTAATGCACTTAGACATTCTAGAAGATTGGTAGGTTGGAATTGTTAACTCCGTATAGGTCTGAAATCAATCTGAACTTGCTTTTTGTTTGGAAATTGGTGCTTTTTGTGCTCAGTTTGTGTCCAAACCAAAGTGTGTATGTGGACTGCTTATTTGGTGTGGTGTTTGGATGTTTTTTTTTGGTGTAAGGAGGAATCCTAAGTTGTGTGTTGAGACTGAATAGTTTTTTTTTTAACCTTGTGCTCTGAGAATTTTGCAACTTCTGTGGTTTCAGGAAGTCAAAACGGAATGAATGGGGGGATGGATATGAGCTTTCCCATGGCTGTGATTCCCTTTGATGGACTAACTACCATGAATGGTCTAGGGGAATTAAACTCTACATTACTGCTAGGGGGAAAATAGGATATATTAATGGTAAAGTGAAGGAACTGAAGACTGGAAGTGCTGAATATGATAGGTGCAGCCAAGAAAATAGTATGGCGATGTCATGGCTCTTGGTTTCCATGCTGCCACAAGTAAGGAAGACATTCATGTGGGCTGAAATAGCTTGTAAAATATGGGAACAAGCGAAATCTACTTATTCAGAGCAAAGGCACTATGCCAAGATATACCAACTGCAAGCTGAATCCTGTACTTGCAAGTAGGGGGAGAGAAGTCTCTCAGTGTACTATTTAGATTTGGCATCAATCTGGAAGGAATTGGATCATTATCAAAATGTGAATTGGAAGTGCAATGAAGATGCAAGGGCCTTCAAATCACTCGTTTCTTAGCAACAAGTATTTCCTTTTCTTTTGGGATTGAACCCTACATATGAGTCTATTAGGGTACAGATCTTGGGAAGTAAAGACTTACCATCAGTTCAGGAGGTTATGCTGTAGTTCAGTTTGAAGAGAGTAGAAGTGTGATGAATTGTATAGAGGGGGAGTCAGTTGCCCTAGCTGTCTGAGGAGGTACAAGTTCAAATGTCGAAGACTCCTTTAAGAATGGTGATTCTTAGAAGAGAGTGGACAACAAGGACAAACTTTGGTGCACTCACTGTTAGAAGACCAGACACACTAGAGATACATGTTGAGAACTCCATAGGAAACCTAAATGGGCATAGGAATTGAGTAAGAAATCAACAACTGATTAGAGTAAGAAGCCAATCTAGCAGAATCAGAAAAAATATAACTCAACTAATGTGGCATCTCAAGAGATTAGTCCCATGGTACCTCAGGAGCAACACCCTAGTTTTGACCATAAGGAAGAGATTATGAATTCTT